GATAAGGACTGGAGTGAACAGCTCTTCGGGGCGAACTAGCGCATCTTCTTGAGATGGAGGCTGGGTGTCTTTGATGCTTTCGGTTGGAGATGGAGCATGATGAAGTTCGGCAACCGCATCGGCCGCCTCTTCAATTTCTTCTTCTGATTTCGGGCTGAAATACAGGAAATACAATAAAGGAATTCCGCACATTTTGAGTGAACTCGAAAATGAGGTTATCGTTGAGTTGAGTCAATTGTCAAAACTTTTGCGGCATGTTTACGATGGTCAATTTGACGTGGCCTCAGAGCCACGCTCTATCCGTCTTTCCAGTACAATTTTTAATTTCTCTAGTAACATTAGTGCGGTGAAAAGACCTTTTATGTTCAAGAAATGAAAGTTAAAATCGATAGCTTGTATGAAACTGTTTTGTAGTTGCAAGCTCATCCTCTCATTAATAAAATACGTCCTAGAAAATTTTCTACTTAGGTAGAAGTAGAGCTGGTGTGGAGACGTTGGGCCTAGGACATACTCGACAGAGCGAATGAGCGTTTAGCGTACACAACTACATGAATAAACTAGGTATGCACCAATGGGATTGTGAAATGTGGAATCCAAAGACGTAGCAAGTGTGCAGGTTCAGCTACCTACACGTACTAAGTCGGGCAAAGATAGTGGAGCAAATGCTCTAGGCGAAAACCGTCCATGAAGGCATTTCTCTGAGGGCAACTAGTCTCGAAGTAACTTCCAGAGAAGTCCCAGGTACAGGTCCTTTGAGCAGATCCGATACTATGCATCGTGCTACTCAGCTCAAATAGTTGGATCGAATCAAGCGGATAGGTGGATCATGGATTCAGGCGGGGTGGTTGGGTGTGGTGCAGAAGGAACGAAAATGTCGCGCCGCGACGAGAAGACGGTGTGCGCGAAGGATTGTAGCAACTTGTCGTCCACTACAGACCTAGGAGCGCTGCGAAATCGTCTTCAGGAACCGAGTTAAGTCTTCCAATATTTCAGTGAGAGCCATGGAAAATTGTCACTATAGTCATTCGAAAAACTCTTTTTAGCCTCCACGTACGGGCTTCATTAAACCGACTGTAGCTTGACATGATATATTCGTTATAACTTTTGCAGCATTTTCTCGCATAACACGATTTTCCAGTATACAGTGGGCAGTGGGAATGACTAAAAGG